TCATTGGATGGTTTACCCGCTTTCCAGATTTTGCTCTCATAGGCAAACTACGATAGGTACAGATGGGATTGATCTTATGGACTGCTCCAGCTTATTATTCGTGAAGATAAACAAAGCGGTGCTCATTACATTGCTCTGTGGGGTTCCATATTCGAGTACTTATGAAAGTTGGTCACTCACTCTGTTTTGGATTTTCCTACCATTTGGGAAATTTGATATATATTTATTTTACGGCCTGTTAACACGTAAAGGTTTAACTGCGCAATTAATCCATAGGTCTAAATGAGATAATAGGGTTTTTCAAGAGCAAGGAAAACTGCGATGAGGTTGTGTCACACTTCCTACTTGCGCCGACTGCCAGTTTTACGCTCAGTTCTGAGCGTAAGTTGCTCTAGCGTGCATCTTTTGCTGCATAACTCACATTGGCTTTGTTCAAGAAAAAAATTCTACTTGGTAGGTGGTGCTTCAGTCTGTTATTAATCACTCTCTGCATAATTTTACAAATATTGTTGATAAGGATTTTTATATCGACCGGATCCTTTACGAGTTTCGAGACAGGAATCACCATTGAGTGTTTCTAACTTGTTGAATTTTCTCCAGATTTCCAGATCGCATTAAGCAGATTCAAAAGAGCGATTTCAGGTTTAGTTTATCCTCCAGGTTGGAGTGGGGTGGGGAAGGGTGTCGACTAAGAGACTTTCACCATTCAGGAATAGCGATGTCGTTGATTGGGGGACTTGAAAGGTTACCCCTGTCTGTGAACAAGTGGATGTATTCATGCTCCAGCCAGTTCTGGCCTTGGAATATGGTGGAATGGTTGAAATTTCTGCTCATAATGGCAAAGTGTAATTTTACCATGTCGTCTTTTTCATTATTTATTTTTTAGTTTTCTTTTTTTTTTTTGTCATTTTTTTAAAATGGGGGAGTTTGGGGAATGAGGACGTAGTTTTCAGCGGATTTTCTTAATTTTAGTCCGTACCTGTTTAGAGTTTCCATTGTAATTTAATGACAAGCAGAATTCCTTCCACGAGTTTTGTTTGGTGGTGAAAATGACCTTTTGTGTTGTCCCTTCTATTTCTTTATAAAAATGGAAAAAAAGTAAGTCTTTTGCACGCTTTGTGTGCCTAAATCTGTCTAGAGCCTTACTGTCCCCATTATGATTTGTTTACAATGGTCATTCGGACTGTTTGAAGCCTCATCCTTCCTGTCGTGGGTATGCTATTTTGGCGATTTTGGGAGCAGATATTATTAAATCAATGGCTGATAACGACCCGTTTTCGGGATTTACTCAGGTACGGGGTTTATTGTTTTGTGTTACTAAGATATCGTAAATGTTGCGATCCACCTTCAGACATTCCTTCATATCATGTCCAATTGGTTTCATATCCATTGTTCACTATGAACGTTGAAATCTCCACATATAATTAAATTATTTCCTAACTTATCTGCAATATTTTTTTAAGTTTCTGTTTTTGTAATCTTATCTCACCTGGGTATGTCATAATTATTATTATGAGTTGTTTTTTTCCATTTATATTCCCATAAATTAAAATTCGGGAAGTGGTCCGAAGTTTTGTAGAGATCAAAAGATTTTCTTGAGTGAGAGTTACTGACGAATGTTGCCATTCCAACTCCTTTTTGTTCCCTAGGATCTGTATTGTACACGTTAAGTATCCCGGGAATATGTGTCCATTTTTTTTTACTGTATTGCAGATAGCACGTTGAGTGTCCCGGGAATATGTGTCTATTTTTTTTTACTTAAGCGAGTATCCTGCTGGCATATATAACATGGCTTAATTTGTTCTTGCTTGATTTTTTTCGGTGACATCCGGGATATTTTGATTAATTCTACTGCAGGGCCATTGCAGAATGCAAATTGTGTTTGTCGACTTAATTTCTGATTTTTGGTATTTACATATACTATTTGACTCTGAGTATCTTCTGATGTATTGAGTTCCTGGCATAAATCGCATGTTAAGTAGGAAAAAGCCGACCAACTCTAAGGTCGCGTCTAATATATTCGACAAATTAGTTTTAAACACGCGGCTCTATTACTTTGCTAATTTTCATGATATACCTGAAGTCAGTCTAATATATCTCTTTGAAGTAATTTTGAACTATCCACAAATCTTTCAAAAAAGTGTATTAACATGTGTTTTTGCAATGTGGAAAAGTGACGTTGCCTATTAGAGCACTTCCTTTTAAAATGTTAATTTTCGGAGGCGCGTAATTTTGCAGGTTGTAAAACTCTCTAATTGCGGAGGTAATTAAATCTTGCTTGTAGTCCGCAATCCCATAATTCTTAAATAGACTCAATCGGTTTTGAAAAAAAAAAAACAAAAACAAAGCACAACACCGGAACTTGAAAAGTTAAGCGAATGTACAATGTCGAAGAATATTGAGCTTAATAATCCAGTCGATTATATCCCGGATGAACTCAAGCAACTGAGTGATTGAAACAGTCATAGGCTGCCTGTTTTGAAGATATTTTTTCAGCTCTGTGGGAGTTTGGACGTTTTCAGTGTAGGTGGTTTTTGTTTATTTTAGTATGTATATTGCTTATTTGTTTTGGGGCTCTGGATATTTTATATATTTCTGGTTGGGAGCAAGTTTGAGGCTCGGGTGAGAAATGTGGTTTCTTCTCTGAGGCCTTGGTTATATTTGTTTTGGAGGCTCGGTATGGTTTTTGTCTTGACCAGCTGTGGGGGTCAGGCATGGGGCCGATTACGATTCAATCGATTGTTATCAGTTACAGTGTTAATATTAATGCGTAATCATTGATTTTAGAAGTTCTATAATCATAATAGTAACTATTCTTTATTGGCAGTGTATTCACATAGTATAATCAAGTCCGATAAATCAACCCCCAAAATATGTGTTGATACTGATTGGTGATATGTGCGTCTGATGTTCAATAAAATAAAACCTGTTCAATAAAATGTGCAATTTTGCTGCCTGTGAATCTTTCCTGAACAAACCTGCGTAATCTTTAGATACATGCCGGTAACTGGTAACAGCCATATCGAGCGCGAAATTCAAAATGGCCACAGGACAGAGGATTGTGCTATTCCACGTGGATTTACAAGTCACCAAGCTGAACTCATATAATCACGGGGGAGGGTCTGATTTATTGGCATAAGTATAATCATGATTACAAACTATTAAAAGCAGGACATCATTCATTATGTTCTTGATCATTGTAAGAACAATAATTGCTTCCATAAACAAAAGACCAGGAATGTTGGCTATTACAATAAGGAATCTGTAATTGTAGGTGACCAATATAAAGGCTGCATTTTCTGATATCTGCGCAGAATAAAGCAATTGTAATCGAAATACCCCTCCCTCTAATCGTAATCATAATCATCAGTAGCAAACAACCTGTAATTTTAATCGTAATTGTAATCGAACACCTGCAATCGAGCCTATATCTGGTATTGGTAACCCTGGACTGCATAGTTTTCGCTGTTGATATAAAGTTTTTTTAGCGTTAGAGTATGTTACATTATCTTGTACCATGTAGTTTATGATCCGCATCTATCACATCGAGGTCTTAAGTTGTATTTGAAGGAAAAAAGGCCATCTCCATTCTAGTTTTAGCTAAATCTTGGTTTGTTTTTGAATTCTTGAACCTTGTAACGGATGCCGTATTGTCCTAGTCGGACCATTGTGGGGGAAATGTTTTTCAACTGCGGTTCAATTTTCCCTTTTTTGTTTTGTTTTTGAGACGGTTTAAACTCACTATTTCGTGCCCCTGTTTAGTTTGGTGCGGACTATTTTAAAGCTTCCCCTTTTTCAACCAAGTTGGAGAGGGGTTATAAATGCTCATTTATGATGCTTCTATCACTAATCGCAATTATATTAGCCTCGGTGCTTGTGATAGATTGTTAATTCCAGGCCAGGCCATAGGACAAAGCGAACGAGGCAACAGCCTTGGGCACCGCGCTTCTCCGCAATGCAATATTTTCCTTAGTTCCCCGCTTTCATTGCTTGCTGCCTTGGGCCCCGCACATCCTAGGGCCGGGATGGTTAATTCCATGGTGTAATATTCAGAATTGGGCTTGGTGGTGTAATAACTGCTTGTTTGTTTTTCAGTTGTAACTTTTTCTTACTTTTATGTTTACTGCCCTGCCATGAGCTACGCGGCATGTGACACAGAGTTAGTGTCTGCTGCCGCCGGAAATGACGATCCCATTAGCACTAATTGATTTTGGATTGTGTCATTGGATCTATTTTATTTTTTTTCAAGTTGGTGGCCAATGTAGAGGCTGTTTTCTTTTTCCTAATTTGATTGTGGTTGGTTTGGATTGGGGGAAGTTTAATTGTTCTGCCATATCTTTATATTTGGACTTACCGGTCTTGTTTTGGATGGTCCAGATACTTGACTGCAGTACACCTTTTTTGTTGCAGTTAATGTAGGTTGTTTGTTTTTCATTTGTTTTTGGGGTGGATGGGTGTTTGTTTTAGTTTGGCTTTGTTACCCGTAATGTGTCGTTGGACTTAATTGAGTTTTATTTTGGTTGTCCATGTAATGATTGCTTTTTATTATCGTAGTTGTAATCAGGGGAAGTTCGCTTGGCATTGCCTTTGCTGATTCTAGTTTAAATGGACTGTCTGATCTTGTTTTTGAACTGTCCGGCTACCTGGCTGTTGTGCACCTTAGTGCGTTGTTTTTTTATGAACATGTATTTTAGCGTTATTTGTTTGAGTTTGGGTTTTTACGATCTGGGTTTGGTTTTTACTATCTGGGTTGCATTTTTATGTTGCCCTTGTCCCCCTACTTTTGGGTAATTTTTGCGCATGTTTAGGTTTTGCTGTTTTCCCTTGTGACGTGTGAATTGGGGATTATGGTGATTTTGTTGACCTCGTATGCCTCCAGCTTTCTGATTGTAGGAGTGAAATTATTAGGTTCCACATTTATTTCAATAGTGACCTAGTGTGTTTCAGGGAAAAAGGCTAGTGTGGGTATTGTTAGGCTTAATTTGGATGAATATCGCTCAGGTGGTCTAAGTGGTTAGGGCTTCCGCCTCGGATGCTGAAGGTTGTTGGTTCGAACTCAGGCTGATCCATATCAAAGACTTATAAAATTTTAAAAAAAATATCAGTAGCAGCTAGATCGCTTGGCGCTCAGCATTAAGAAGTCAGTGTTAGAACTGATCGGTTTGGGTGACTGGGTGGGACATGATGCCCCATGCCTGCGGCATGTAGATCAACAAGCAGAGCTCCGCTTTTTTTTTCTTTCTAACATTATTTGCAGCAAACGGAACTGGAAGGTATTTCATATTCAAGTTTACACCCTCCGATCATGTCTGACTATCGAACGCTCGTTAGTAATTAAATACATTTTTTTTCGACTGACATTGGTATGCGCATGGTCAATGAAAACCCTCTTTTGACCCATGTCATTCCTTCAGAACACTCACTTGTTTTAGTATTAATCCGTCAGAACAGAAAACCTATGGATACATTGATTAATGACCCTTTTGTCAAAGCACAAAGAACAACGCATGGAAACCTTCTAGCGAAGACTGTATCACTAGGAACTGACTCATGCTTGTGTGTATCTTGTGCCGACACTGCAAAATGTTGAGAGACAGAGACAGGCGTCATGTTCGAAATTCGAGATAGAGAGAATGAAAATAAATGAATATAAAAATAAAAACAGTAATGAGCTGTAAAATATGCTAAATAATAATAATAATAATAATAATAATAATAATAATAATAATAATAATAATAATAACAATAATAATTTGATGTTATTATTTTTATTAATGGTATTAGTAAGTAGCAGCCATACATACATGTACAAGCATATGCGTATACATACGTTCGTACTTAATACATATATGTTAATACTTAATACAATTTCTTACTAGGTCATATTTCGTCTGAACATTATTAAATATTGTTTACAAGGTATGCAACAACACGAGAATATATATATATATATATATATATATATATATATATATATAGCCACAAATACATATATACATACATAGCAACATACATACATACATACATACATACATACATACATACATACATACATACATACATACATACATACATACATACATACATACATACATACGTCTCATCATAAATTGACATGAATTTGATATCATTCTCTTCTTATTGTCAAATGTTTTGGATAATATTTTTATGTGGGATGTGTAACATGCCGGTGTGCCTTACAATAGCTTCTAATGTTAAATGCTGAAAAGCATTATATCTTCCAGGGATTTATTTTAAGAAGTCATCGTCCTTCGGTAATCTCATAAATGTTTCAGTATCTCTTTTCCTTTAAAATTTAGATTTTCTTGCCTGGAAAGTGTCAAATTCAGTCACAGCATATACTCGTAACAGATGTTATAAGTAGGCATTAACACGGCTATTGGGCAAGTGGGCATTAACACGGCTATTGGTCAATGTGTAATTTTTCTTAAGTTGCCATAAAGAAATGGGTAACTCGACCTAGGTTTTAGAAAGGCTGACTCAGTTCTAGTCTTAAGATGACTTATTTATTATGTCAACATATTTGAATAAATTGGTGGTCTTAAGTGGCAGTTGGTTGGCAGAAATCTGTCACCATAGGAAATACCAAATCTCACATAGTGAATCCCAGTTCTAGTCTTAAGATGACTTATTTATTATGTCAACATATTTGAATAAATTGGTGGTCTTAAGTGGCAGTTGGTTGGCAGAAATCTGTCACCATAGGAAATACCAAATCTCACATAGTGAATCAAATGAATTATCATTTAAAATATAGTGCTTTGAAATATAGGCAGTAACCTATAATGTGAAACCGTCTTCATGGCGTTGCATTGATGTTAGGCTTCAGAACTCATGGTACTAATAAAGTAAATCTATGGATACACCATGATATTAAAATCTGAATATCTTTAAATTTCCAAATGCTTTTGATCAAACTTATATTTAAGTTTAGATACATCATTGGTGCCATTTTAGGCGAAATGAAAACCATATGATCCCTAGCCTTTTTTTTTTTTATCTACACGTGTTTTCAATTCCGCACCAGTCATTTGCTAATTTGAGCTTTCCAAATTAATGTCTTGTTTTCAATTCCGCACCAGAGTCATTTGCTAATTTGAGCTTTCCAAATTAATGTCTTAACGTGACTAAAATTCCATCAATAAAATAACGTCTCGGTTTTTTACGTTACAGCTAGGATTAGCTCTCCAAATATTCTTTTTACTACAATCGTACATTGATTATTAATCAATCCTGGTCTGCCAAATCCATATTTTCTCTATTACATCTTTACCCATTTAAAGACTAGTCCTCCTTTTTTATATCATTAGTACCGAAATTCCTACTCTGTTATTGTATATAAATGATAAAATAAATAACACTAACACGTAGAATGTGTGACCGATTTCGCGTTTTTGCTTCATCAGACTCTTATTAATATTATTTATTATTATTATTATTATTATTATTATTATTATTATTATTATTATTATTATTATTATTATTATTATAATTATTATTATTATTATTATTATTATTAATGCACCTACAGCACCTACACCTCGTTTGCCAAATGACGTCATGCGCTCATTACACCATCATAACGGAAACTTAAGTTTCCGGTGTTTTTCAAACACAGTCACTTCCATTAGTGGTCATGGGATTGCGCACCACATGAAGGAACCACTTCTCTCCTAAATTGAAGGGACTGACAACGTGCAAGAACTACTCACCACCGTAACGGAAGAGTTTGACAACGAATGTTCTCTTAAAAGCACTGATAATTTACGTTGTTCAAACAATCATGATAACACATTTTTGCGTTGAATTTTACTTAGTTCCAATTATATCAAGACAGCTGTTAAATTGTATTAGCAAGTATTCAGAATAAATCAATGGATTATGTGATTCGAATGATTTTGTTATCTAAATAATTCCGTAATCGAAGAGATATTTGTCGTAGGAATCGTATATAAAATTGTATAGTAACTCACTACAGAGCAGAGGTACTTAAAATGCTATGGTGCAGATTACATATCACTTTTTAAGTACAAAAAATATACATCATATCATTTTTAAGTACAATAAGAGTACATCATATCATTTTTTAAGTACAATAAGAGTACATTATATCATTTTTAAGTAAAATAAGAGTACATCATATCATTTTTTTAAGTACAATAAGAGTACATCAGATCATTTTTTAAGGACAATTAGACTGCAATGCATTTTGTTGTTGTTTTTGGGTTTAACGCCATTTCTCAATGCAAGATAGGCTATGTGTGACTACCAGTATAAATGAAGGAAAATCCATGAAATCCAGGTAAGAATCCCCAAGCTTTACCACATACACACATTGGCAGGGACTGCGTTGACTTATTCTTGGTTTGCTCTCTTTTTTATCAATTTTTACTGAATTTTTGCTAATTATGTCATACAAGTATCATATATTTTTTTTTGGGGGGGGGCATGGACCTATGTGATGTGGCGAATTGTGAAGACTTATTGAAACTTAAGGTTGAATAAAGTGTGCTTTGATGTTATCATAGTCGAGCCAGAAAAGGTCTTCAGAATGTTCACTGATCATTTTCTTGTTTCATCTCTGAAACGTTAAAGGGTATATGTTTAAACTTCAGTAGCATTGACTGGGCTGTTTTAACGGTACACTTACATGCGGTGTATTAGAACTCCGACCGTATCGGTTCGTAGAGGGCCGCACGTCAAATAATTGATTTTCAAAGGAAAACTAATTGCAACGGGTGCTGCAAGAGTTATGCAATTTAATTATTAATTTAACAATTATTAGTTTCTTGAGAGAACTGACGGATTGGATGTAATTAAAAATTCAATATGCAGTATTTTATAGGTATTATGATAAAAATCATAAAGAATGCAAATATGCAGTACTTCATAGGGATTTATGAATTCCCACTAAAATGTAAATGTGTCATATTTTTATGATTACATAATTGATTCTCTGTGTACGATGATATTGTTGTCGTGAGCTAATGAGAAGTGTATATTTATATATAATTTCGTATTGCTTAAAAGATCTTGCAGTTTATTGATTATTGTAGCCAGATTTAGTGGATGTTATGCCATGATTATTTAAGCATTTATTTCATTGAATCGAACTGACTAGCAAAATGTAAATAAGACATGTAGTAATGTATGTTGGTATATACAACCGCATTTGTCTGAGAAAGCACGTGGTAATTCCTAATCAATTGCCCCGCGCTGACTACTGTAAACTTCGAGCTAAAGTCATTTGTACTAATGTAACGTACCTTACCGAGCACATGATCTGTAAAGAGAGTTATTTGTCAAGATTACATTACGTCAGAATTTGTGCATTGTGAATCGCCCATCTGAATACGAACGAACAGTTATAATTTTACGCAAATAATTGTTGAAACATAATTAGCTCCAGAGAGAGAGAGAGAGAGAGAGAGAGAGAGAGAGAGAGAGAGAGAGAGAGAGAGAGAGAGAGAGAGAGAGAGAGAGAGAGAGAGAGAGAGAGAGAGAGAGAGAGAAGTAAAGGAAAATCCGATGATTCAAAAGAAAATCACGCATCTAAGATAGGTCGGACTAAACGGGGTCGAAAAGAGGACCAAAGCACACGCATTAGACGTGGAAATAAAACGAGAGGAGACTGACTATAGTTGAAGCTGTCAAGTGTAGACTTAAACTCAGAATTCACTACTTGCAATATGCTGTAAATTGAACACTAAATTATATTAATGTGAATCCTTTGGATTGAAAGTGAGATTTTGGTTATGCATTACTAATTACATTTATTTGGTAAATCTGTTTTATTAGTTGAAAGCGAAATAGTGGTCATGTACTAATTGATTAAATTTATTTTTATTTATTGGAAAAGTTGTCTCCTATTTGTTTCCATAGCTTGCCAAGCTATCGGTTAACGTTCCATCTATCGGTCCACACTGGGCAATAACACCGTGGGAGGTAATTCCCGAGTTAAAGAAGGCGAAGTCAATTTAGGATGCTTTAATCTTTAAAGTTCCCCGTTACAATCTATTTTGCCTGGTATTTTTTCCCCCGAGAATAG